CCCCAAAACCCCAAAACCCCAAAACCCCTTAGATCTAATATCAAACTATAATAGTTAATTTCAAAATTTAAATTTGCTTTATATAATGGAGGAAGCTAAATTGAAAGCTAAGAAATCTACGGAATAGGTACAGTCGATTAGATAGGAAATTAATATGTCAATGAGTAATGCCAATAATTCTGGGAAAAACAACTAGAGGAAGAATTCTAAATCTCCAATTAAGAACGGCAAAACCCCTACAAGCAGAGAAAGGGTTAGCAAAATGAGAGAGATTAAAGGAGAAATAAGTGATCTTATGAGTAAAATTGAAAATGCCTCAAAGCAAATATATGAATCATTCATTCATAAAAAGCATGAATCTCTGCTGAGTAGTTAAAACCAATAGCAGAGATAATCTTCTCTAAACAACACTAATTAGAAGTCTCAAGAATAGCCAACTTCCTAGAAGTAGCAATAACAGCATTAAAACCAAAATAGTGTCAATAAAAATCCAAGCTTTCAAAATACCTTCAATAATTAACAGCTTGCTAGCTAACTTAACTCAGATCAGTAATCAACTTTACAGTACAATTAGCAGTAATAATTTTACTAAGTATAATAAATGCTTCTAAATAGAAACAAAGAGAACCAGCATAATATAGGTTAAAATTACAGTCCTGGCAAACCCAGTCCCTATGATTATATTGATACTTTGAGAAACAGCTAAGGAAATACCAATACCATTTAAACAAATGATAAAAATACTCTGTAGCAAAGAGAGTCATTTTATAACTAGCATAATCTTCAAAATAACTACAGCTTTAACAAGAATTTCATGCTAAATTAGCAATCTGCTGAGACTCTAAGCGGTGGTGCCATTGACCCTAATCAACTCTCAATCACCAAAAATAACTATACGAATCATCACAATATGTCAAATCAAACAAACTATGAGAAGTTGCTTTCAGATTATTTGAGTCTAAAACGTACATCAGAAGATTAATAACTCATAATGAGAGATTTGTCAATCTAAGCTTAAAGCAAGCAAGACGAAATTTAAAACTTAATATATGAAAGGTAAGAGATGAGGCTTAAGTACGAACTAGATATAGACTACCTTACACTCTAGAACAAACACCTTCAACAGAGAGTGATGCATTTTTAAGAACAGTCTTAGTTTTCAGATATACTTTTGGTTTATAATGAACAGATGTTGCAGCTAGAAAACTAAAATAAAAGTTTTCTTGTTGAATTGAGGAAATTAGCTAAAGTCTAGGCTAATGAGATTAAATCCTCAACGACCTAAATTGAAAGCTAAAAGCTGGAGTTTATGGAAAAGAACATAAGAACTCTTAAGTAGACTATTAAGAAATTGACCTCAGAAATAGGTAAACAGTAAACTCAGCTTGAAGAATATAGAAAGAAAGATAGAATGTTTAATCTGTAGAAAAGATGTGTAGATGATTCAATCAAGAAAGCGAATCTCTATTTTAGAAAGTTTAACCAGGTCTAGGAATCTGCCTAGACTCTCAGTAGGACTAAGAATGATCTTAGTTAAGATGTCAAGTATCTCTAGGATTAAAATAAACAACTTGAGTTTCATGTTCTAGATTTGGCACATTAAGTAGATATGCTTTAAGAAGAGAACTAGCTACTCAAAGATTTCACATATAATGTTGATTAATCAGCGAAGCTTTTGCATCAATAGAAATTTATGAATGAAAATAAAACATAGGAACTAAGTCTTATTGAGAAAATCAATTCATATGCTTAGAGAAGTTCTGTAATTATCCCGAACAGATTATTATTATGAACTCTAGATTAATTTAACTTTATTTGTACTATGATGAATCTTGGGGTTTTGGGGTTTTGGGGTTTTGGGG